TGGAAAAAAACATTTTAAACTTCATATGGAACCAAAACAGAGACTGCAAGACAATCCTAAGGAAAAAGAACAAAGCTGGAGGCATCATGCTGCCTGACTTCAAACTATACAGCAAGGCTATAGTAATCAAAACAGTATGGTACTGGTACCAAAACAGAGATATAGATTAATGGAACAGAACAGAGGCCTCAGAAGTAATGCCACACATCTGTAACCATCTGATCTTTGACAAACCAGACAAAAACAAACAATGGGGAAAGGATTCCCTGTTTAATAAATGATGTCTGGAAAACTGGCTAGCCACATGCAGGAAACTGAAGCTGGACCCCTTCGTTACACCTTATACAAAAATTAACTCCAGATGGATTAAAGATTTAAACATAAGAACTAACACCATAAAAACCCTAGAAGAAAACCTAGGCAAAACCATTCAGGACATAGGCACAGGCAAGGACTTCATGACTAAAACACCAAAAGCCTTGGCAACAAAAGCCAAAATAGACAAATGGGACCTAATCAAACTCCACAGGTTCTACACAGCAAAAGAAACAGTCATTAGAGTGAATCGGCAACCAACAGAATAGGAAAAAATTTTTGCAATCTACCCATCTGACAAAGGGCTGATATCCAGAATCAACAAAGAACTAAAGCAGATTTACAGGAAAACAAACCAACCAACCCATTCAAAAGTGGGAGAAGGGTATGAACAGACACTTTTCAAAAGAAGACAAATATGTGGCCAACAAGCATATGAAAAAATGCTCATCATCACTGGCCATTAGAGAAATGCAAATCAAAACAACATTGAGATACCATCTCACTCCAGTTAGAATGGCTATCATTAAAAAATCTGGAGACAACAGATGCTGGAGAGGATGTGGAGAAAAAGGAACACTTTTACACTGTTGGTGGGAGTGTAAATTAGTTCAACCATTGCGGAAGACAGTGTGGCGATTCCTCAAGGATCTAGAAATAGAAATTCCATTTGACCCAGCAATCCCATTACTGGGCTCTCTATATATATATGTGTGTGTGTGTGTGTGTGTGTGTGTATGTGTGTGTGTGTGTGTGTACCCAAAGGATTATAAATATATACCCAAAGGTTTATAAATCGTTCTATCATAAAGACACATGCACACGTATGTTAATTGTGGCACTGTTTACGATAGCAAAGACCTGGAACCAACCTAAATGCCCATCCATGATAGACTGGACAAAAAAAATGTGGCACATATACACCATGGAATACTATGCAGCCATAAAAAATGTTGAGTTTGTGTCCTTTGTAGAGATATGGATGAACCTAGAAACCATCATTCTCAGCAAACTGACTCAAGAACAGAAAACCAAACACCACATGTTTTCCCTCATAGGCAGGTGATGAACAATGAGAATACTTGGGCACAGGGAAGGGAACAACACTCACAGAGCTAGGTGAGTGGGTGGAGAGGAGGGGAGGGTGGACTGCTCGGGGGAGGAGGGGGAGGGATAATATCGGGAGAAATGCCTGATGTAGGCAAGGGGGGCGGGGGGGATGGAGACAGCAAATCACCATGGCATGTATGTACTTATGCAACAATCCTGCAGGATGCAGGATGTGCACGTGTACCCCGGAGCCCAAATACAATTTAAAAAAAAAATTTTTGAATTGCAAAATACCTTACAGAGTATTCTAATATCCTCATCTTATTTTATAGATGAAGAAACTGGCAAGCTACATTTATTGATCAATGAATAGCTGGACTATGGTTAAAACACAGATCTCTTGATAACCAGGGGGGAATCCTTTCTCTGGCTCCGTCTTAGAGAAAGCTACTAAATTTCACACATGTGCCTAAGCTACAGTAGTTTTTCATTCTTGTGCTCTTAATACTTGAGGGATGTACATATACATTGACATCTGCATTTATAGACATGACCTAAAGAAAAGAAACATTGATGGCTATCGTAGATTTTATTTCCTTAAATCATGGGTGATATTTGGGATTTGTTTCAGAATTGGGAGGTAGGGACAGATTGAATGGATGAGAGTGAAACAGAATTAGCCATAAATTGATCATTGTTGAAGCTGGATGTGAAGGAATTCATTATACCATTCTTTCCACTTTTGAAATATTTTTTAAAAGCAGATTGTACTGTTTTAGTCAATAGGTGGCACTGCATCGTCACCTTGAGAATAGGTTGGTTGATACTGGATGAATATTTTTACTTACGATATTTAAGATATTCTAATATTTTATTAAAAGCTTTCTTTTCTCTTTGTGACTAAGAGTTAACAGATTAAATTATAATCTTGTGAAATTATAATAACTAATTTCTGGCGTTGACAGCTAATAAAGATAGAATTTGAGAAAACTTTTAACATACGAGTTTGTATTACCAGCTTAATGTCATGTATTAAGATTTAGAGTACATATAAAAGCACAATGCAGACATAAAGCTAAAAACCTCAAATTTGTTAGGACGTTGAGTTTTAATACATAGAAAAATGAAATTTCTGCCAACATGTAGTTCTAGTTCAACAATTGGGAATTACAAGTTAACTTGATTTTTTAATACAATACAACAACAACAAAAAAAGGTACACAAAAATGGTTCTAGTAGCTGACAATAAATTTAACAGTAGTTTAATAATCTATTTTTATCTTTTGGGTTGAAGGAAATGTGTGGTAGGAAAAGTGTGTGTGATAGGAACATGCAGGAGCATAAACAGGTGAAACTACTTCAGAGTTTTGTCAGTATCCCACCATCTCATAGTGCTGACTTCTGGTCTACAAAGAAACTACTTTCTCTGGTGCATTATGCATAATAGTAAGCAGCAGAACAGGTCTTCATTGTGAATCAAGACCCATTTCTCCTAATATATAGTCTGAGTATAATCACCTTTTTAACCCGAGTGGACAAGGTTTGTTTCCTCCTACGTGTGGATTCCCATTTCATGGTATAAAGTATAAAAACTCAACATTTCACCAAGTATGCATCACTGCTGATATTGCAGTGTCAGTCCTGGCTGCTTGTGTCCTAAATGTGAACCTTCAAGCTCTTTGCTTACTTACCGTCTCATTCCAAATCCCAAATATTGGTGTTAGTTTTTTATTTTGGTATAAAATAATTATTTTCTACACAGTTAAATATACATAAGAGACAGACCAGAGAATGGCTGTAAGTGAACAAAATACACCTTGTTTACCTAAGGTTCTAGGCAGTCTGCATTCCCTTGTTTTGGTTTTTGATGAATTTGACAAAATTGGTTTCAGAAGGGTGGGAAGAACAAAATACTGATTGGAATGGATTAAAAAAGAATGAAAAATGAGAAGAGTGAGTACAGTGAACTCCTTTAAGGCAGGGTGTTTTGTTTTGACTGAGGTTTAATTTCAGCATAGTAAAATGCACAAATCCTAAGTGTGTCTTTTATTGTTTAATATATTACAGCATATTTTTATGCTGGTGGAAATAATCCAGTTGAGACAGAAGAGCTGAGAGAGAGACGATAACTGTGAGAGCAAAGCTTGGTGTAGGCAACAGAGATAGGCTGTCACGCACAAGTGGAGTGGTTGGCCTTAGAAGACACAGGCTGCTCATTATTACAGCACTGAGGGCAGAGCATAGTGCTGCAGAAGAACGGAGGGTCAGGGATTTGTTAGGGGAAGATGAGTTTTCCGATAACTTCCCAGTGAATTAAGATCTTTGGCTGAGAATGAAGAGGTGAGAAGGGAATTAGAGATTGATAATGAAAAAAAACGTAAATAATCATGAGAATGAGAAAGTGAATTTACTAGAGAACATAAAAGCGTTGCAAGAGACTATTTGAGATTAGTCATAACTTTAAAAAGAGACCTGTCAATCCTTTTGTAGTTTATGATGATGCGTGTTTACACTTCTGTGAGATGTCTCCCTCTAAACCTTGTAACAGCATAGCACATTACCCTTCTGATGTGAGGGGAAAAAGGAGAGAGATAGCTATCCACCTAGTTGTTTTTAATCTACTCATGTTCAGCTACTCTGGTACAGGCACGTATTAGGCAGAGAAAACAGATTTGAGGCTTCAACAGGTGGTTCTGATGGAAGGAAAGAAAACCATGCATGGGCAAGGGTTATATGCAAGGAGGTGGTTATATCCTTCAATCAAGGATGGAAGTGAAGACAGAGGTTCTCATGTGCTGAATGTAGAAAGGTCAATAGATTGGTGGACTCCATGGGGTTGTAGGTGTGAGGCTATGAACAGAGGTGAATGGCAGAGTCAGTAACTGGTGGTCAGAAAATGGGTTTCATGAAATTGAGACTTTTGGAGCTGCATAGTAGTATATGATGACAAGTTTTTATGGCCAGTGGAGGAAGTAGCTGAGTTGAGGTGAGGACAAGATAGTTGGAGGTGAGGGAAGGATTCAAGGAACTGAGGGTTCAGGCTGGTGGTGGGTGCCTCTGTGGTAGAAGTCACTAGGAAGGCTGGTGCTGAGAGGAAGGCAGTGACCTTTGCTAAATCCTTCTGTGGATGAGGAGATGCAACAGAGAAAGCTGAAAGGATGTAATCTAGCAGCATGCACTTCAAAGGGGATGTGGTCTTTTTTAAAGAGGGAGAAGAAATGGTCTGCAAGTAGTGACTAGTGAGGCAGCCATCAAACCCACCTTCAGGCTTGAAGTATGTCATATGTGGAAACAAAAACAGTACTCAGTTGAGAAGACTGCGGGCGTAACTTTTCTCTGAGGGCGGACATGTTTCACTTAGAGCAAGGAAGAGGAGGGAGAGAAAGGAAGAGAAGGGAACATTTAGAGGCCAGGATGAGGATTTAGATTTTGCTAGTGTCAGCTAGTGTCAGGGATTGAGTTCCAGGAATTACAGTGAAAGGATTTGAGGATTAGGAACTTTCCACCCTCAATTTTTAATAATTTTGCCTTAGAAAAAATTTTCATATATTAGTTTATCTGGAGAAATTAAAAAATATAAATCTCTTCCAGAACTAATTTGATCCTTAATTTACTTTGTAACATGTTGATTACAGGAATGGTTTGCAGTGTATGTGGAACTTAATCAGCAAATTGCAGCACTCTTGAATGCTGGCGATGAGGAAGATCTTGTGGAACTGAAGTCACTGCAGCAACAACTTAGTGACGTTTGTTATCGACAGGCCAGTCAGCTGGAATTTAGGCAAAACCTCTTACAGGCAGCTCTTGAATTTCATGGTGTTGCCCAAGATGTAAGTGTATACTCTGATTCTTTTTTTTTCTTCAAATTATCTGAACGCTTATCTATGTATAATTTTTTTCAGGTTTGCATGCCTCCTAATTATTTTTCTGAACCAATAGAATGATTTACTGGTGGGGGTAATGAGACAAAATTCTTCGATTTTTTTTTTTTAAACAAGTATGATTTTTAAGTCATTCTGCATGCAATTCAACCTTTTATTATCTAACTAGAGTGTTTCAATCTAGTAGAATATTTTACTTTGACTGCTTCTCAATGTTTTTGCTTTATAACATAGATGGAAATGGAAGTCTCAATACTTTTTTGCATTCTGCTGACCCAGATATACTTCTTTGTCTTCCTGGTGCATGCATCCGTGTGTTCTATCTTCCAGATAACTCGTATTCTAATGATTTGTCCTTGTCTTGTAACAGTGTAGTCTTTTCAAGTGTAATTGTGATAACCTCATTAGATATAAACCTCATTAATCATTCAACACTTTAGATGCTGATTACATCAGGGTTATCTCTTTGGTGTCCCTCTGCTTTAGTTGTCTCAGCAGTTGGATGGCTTATTAGGGATGTTGTGCGTAGATGTAGCACCAGCTGATGGAGCATCGATTCAGCAAACTTTAAAACTGCTTGAAGAGAAGCTGAAAAGTGTTGGTAAGCAGATTTTAAAAATGCTGAAACATAAGGTTTTTTTTTTTTTTTTAAATATCATTACCATGGTTAGACAATTAAGTCAACTTATACTGAACTAATCATTACTATTTTCAGGAAACAGAAAAATCGTATAAAAAGGTTTTATTCCCTTGAGGGGTTATAATTTATGCTGAAAATTTTATTTTTTATTGCTAGTCATTCCTCCCTTCACTGGGCCTTAACCCTGGCCTGTTTACCTAGCCAGGGTAAAGGCCCAGTGAAGGGAGGAGTGACTAGCAATCTGTAGGTGCTGTGTCTTGCATATACTATGAACAGTTATTTGTAGTGCATGCATAAACTGTAATTAGCTGTAAAGTGTTCTGTGGTAAACCCTGTATGCCCAAAATCGTGTTTATGCAATGATTTTTGTTGTTGCTTTATCCTAACCTTGTGAAAACAATAATTGGTTTGGTTTTTTGGTTCTTGTCTCTCTAAACTGAGAATATTGCCAGATTACCCACTCTCCAAGAAGTGGGGGTCCAGTTACATTAAGGGGTCTAGTTATATTAAGCTAGTTCTGTCATTTGACATCAAGGCCTTTAAAATTTTTCTACGGCAGGGAACACAGTGAGCTTTCCTAAAAGGTTAGGATGTGAAAATGGAAAGGTGGGGAGTCATATCAAGGGGGACAAAAAGGGAACAAAAGGGGAAATGGCAATGGAAGAGAGAAAACAGGAACCTAAGGCAGAGAACTAGTAGAAAGTGGTTACACAAGACTAAACCAAATTAATTAATTATTGAAAACTGCTTTAGGGAATTGGTTTGAAAAATCATGCTTGTACTGACATTCTACTTGCTTATAGCTTTTGTTATTTTTATTTTATTTATTTTTTGAGACAGAGTCTTGTTCTGTTGCCCAGGCTTGAGTGTAGTGGTGCAAGCTTGGCTCACTGCAACCTCCGCCTTAGCTTCCCAAGTAACTGGGATCACAGGTGTCTGCCACCACACCCCTACTAATTTTTGTATTGCCAATTTTAGTAGAGATGGGGTTTCACTATGTTGGTCAGGCTGGTCTCAAGCTCCTGATCTCAGGTGATCTGCCCACCTTGGCCTCCCAAAATGCTGAGATTACAGGCATGAGCCACCATACCCAGCCAGCCTTTGTTCTTTTAGCAGATGATATGCATAATGTATATTTAGTATTTGATATGACAAATGAATTTTATTTAAAAATATTAGAAGTTTTCTTCAGCCACAATCTTAAACAAAAAGTTCCTTTACACATCTAATTTAGAGAATTGTAAATATACCCTAATTGTTGCTTCCTATGGTATAAAAGCTAGATTGTACCTTAGTCACAATGTTCAACATCCTTTGACACTGATAATACATTGCTGGAGTGTCTCAAAATCTTGCAAGGGTTATGGGCTTTTTTAAACAACATATTTGCCTTGTTCTTCTAAAAGTTAGCATAAAAGCAGGAAGAAAAAATATAAAATTTTTTTCTATTAGAAATATAAATTTTCATACTTCTGCTTTCATTTTTTTAAAGTAATTATTATCTATGGAAACGCAGGTTTTCAAAATTCCCTTTAGGGAGAATTTAACATGAGAGAGAGCACCCGTTCGAGTCACATTTAAAGGGTCTTACTGCTTGAGATGTTCATAGGATAGAGTCTTTGGATTCCATCCCAAGATGGCTTAATGTACAAAGCTCTCCTATACTTGGGATCCAAATACAATATCTGATGATTTGTTTGAGGGAGGGAAAGCACCTTCGTCGTGTAAGAGATTAAATCTAGTAACTTTTATTTTAGATGTGGGATTGCAAGGTTTACGTGAAAAAGGTCAAGGTCTCCTGGATCAGATCTCCAATCAGGCATCCTGGGCCTATGGAAAGGATGTAACCATTGAAAATAAAGAAAATGTGGACCACATACAAGGAGTGATGGAAGATATGCAACTTAGAAAACAAAGGCAAAGTTTGACTGTTAATTTTTACCAAAATAGCATAATATTAATTAAAATGAAAAGTTATATAAATTTATTTTGTTTACAGACAAAAAGTTCTTAAGTGTTCTATAGTAGACATACAGTAGGTTTTTGTTGAATGTAATTATAATTTTACTAACAAATAGTAATAATTTATTCAATTATTAGGTACCTTTTCCCTTTTTTACTGGGTTGTAAAAATTTCAGTTATACTCAAGTACTTAATATTCTATATCCTCAATGTAGTCCGTGGCTCTGTTCTCCTTTAAAAACTTTCTGAAGAATTTTGCTTTTTAAATTTCATTTAGTTTAGAGTTGCTGTTAAACTTGTCATATATATTGATCTATTTCTTCATCTAAACTTACAAAATGTCACACATTCATTGTTCTCATATTTGCTGTAGGAGGATTTAACAGTAGACTAGTGATGTTTAGTTTCATTTGCTATAAAACTAGGAATTTAAAAGATTACTGGAAAACTCACTTTGCAAAAGCAACTATAAAGTATTGCAAAGTAAAGGATTAAAATTATCTATGCAGTATATACAAACTGGCATAGTTATATGACATTTTTCACACTTGAAAATTTTGAGATCATCAACAAAACTTTACAGAAAGCTGCTTCTATATCACAGAGAAAACAGTCATGAGGCAGAAATTTCTTCCCTCATATCAACAAACTTCTCATTATTCTCTCTCCACAGAGGATAATAGCGCTCTCCTGTTACCAAAGCTGATCTTCCATTTAGGCTCTGATTCTAATCCACCTCCTGACTCCTAACTCCATCAACTCCCATTCTCTACTCTGATTCCTGCCCTTCACTTAAATACTTAAATTTCTCCTATTTTAAAATTAATCATCACACACATGGATGTGTCTTCCTCTTCAGCTCTTTGTCTTTTAGCATTAGTGCTCTTCTTCCTCACAGCTAAGTCATTTGGATAGGTTTACTGTACGTTCATACTACTTCCCCACTCCCTCCAATTTATTTTCAACGCTTTTCAGTCTGGCTTCTACCCTCACTGTTTCACTCAGTGTGGCTCTTACTGGCATTATCAATGTAATAAATGCTGGATTTACTTGAAATCCCAGGAATACTTTTAGTCCTGACTTGCTCAACTGTGATTAGTGTTAGGCACGACTGACTTTTCTTTCATTTTGAAACTTCCTGATAACCTTGTCTTTCTTGAAAACACACTAATGATCCTTCTCTGTTTCTTCTTGGTTTTTGTCACTGGTTTCTTGGCCACTAGCTAAAGTTACTGCTTCCAAGGTTTGTTCTGAGGCCAGATTCCAACCTTTATATGGTCTCCCTGGACATTCTGACTACTTGAATGACTTTTCTCTAATAGATCATGGTTTAGTAGTTAGTTACAGCTCTCACCAAGACCCTCTCACATGCTGTAGACCCAAAAATCCAGTTGCCTCCTTAGTGTTGCCTGCTGGATGCCCCCATGTACTGCAGAAACCTGGTGTATTAGTCCATTCTAGCATTGCTATAAAGAACTACCTGAGACTGGGTAATTTTTAAAGAAAAAAGGCTTAATGGACTTACATTTCCATAGGCTGTATAGGAAGCATGCATGGCTGAAGAGACCTCAGGAAACTTCCAATCATGGTGGAAGGCAAAGGGGAAGAAGCAGACACATCTTACTTGGCTGGAGCAAGATAGGGAAGAGGGAGGTGCTGCACACTTTTAAACAACCAGATCTCATGAGAACTCACTGACATGAAAATAGCAACAGGGAAATACACCACCATGATCCAATCACCTTCTACAGGGCCCCTTGTGTTAGTCCATTTTCACACTGCTATAAGGATATACCCAAGTCTGGGTAATTTATAAGAGAAAGTTTAACTGACTCTCCTCACAGCTTTGCAGGGCTAGGGAACCTCAAGAAACGGGATCATGGTGGAAGGGGAAACAAACACGTCCTTTTTCGTATGGCAGCAGCAAGAAGTGCAGAGGGAAAAGGGGGGAAACACCGTATTAAACAAGTTGATCTTAAGAGAACTGACCATCATGAGAACAGCATGGAGGTAACTGCTGCTATGATTCAGTTAAACACCCCTCGGTCCCTCCCATGACATGTGGAGACTATGGGAACTACAATTCAAGATAAGATTTGGGTGGGGGCACAGACAAACCATATCATCCCTCTTCCAACATTGGGGATTACAGTTCAACATGAGATTTGAGTGGTGACACAAATCCAAACCATACTATTCCACCCCCAGTCTGTCCCAAATCTGATGTTATTCTCACATAGAAAAATATAATCATCCCTTCTCAACCAGTCCCCAAGTCTTAATGCATTTCAACATTAACTTGAATGTCTACAGTTGGTAGTCTCATCTGAAAAAAGGCAAGTCCTGTCCACCTATGAGCCTGCAAAATCAAACACAAGTTAGTTACTTCCAAGATACAATAGAGGTATAGACACTGAGTAAATACACCCATTCCAAAAGGGAGAATTTGGCCAGAACGAAGGGGCTACAGGCCCCATGCAAGTCCGAAACCCAGCAGGGCAGTCATTAAATCTTAAAGCCCTAGAATAATCTCCATTGACTCCATGTCTCACATTCAGGCCACATTGATGCAAGACTTGAGCTCCTAAGGCCTTGAGCATCTCCATCCCTGTGTCCCTGCAGGGTACAGCCCTCTTGTCTGCTTTCACAGGCTGACATAGAGTGCCTACAGCTTTTCCACGTCCATGGTGCAAGCTGTCAGTGGATTTGCCATGCTGGGGTCTGAAGGATGTTGGCCATCTTCTCACAACTCCACTCTACAGTGCCCCAGGAGAACTCTGTTTTTGGGGGTCCCACCCCACATTTCCCCTCCACACTGCCCTAGTAGAGGTTCTCCATGAGGCAGCAGACTTCTGCCTGGACATCCAGGCATTTCTATATGTTCTCTGAAATCTAGGCAGAAGCTCCCAAGCCTCAACTCTTGCCCTTTGTGGACCCATAGTCTTAACACCACATGGAAGCCACAAAGGCTTATGGCTTGCACCCTCTCTGGAGCAGTGGCCTGAGCTGTGTCTGGGGTCCTTTTAGCCATGCTGGAGCTGGAACAGCTGAGATACAAGGAACAGTGTCCCAAGGTTGTGCAGGTCAGTGGGGCCCTGGGCCTGGTTGCCAAATGATCCTTCCCTCTTAGGCATCCAGGCTTGTGATGCCAGGGGCTACCACAAAGTCTTCTGAAATGCCTTCCAGGCATTTTCTCCATTTTGTTGGCTATGAACATTCAGCTCCTCTTTACTTATGCAAAAGGATCCTGCAGCCAGCTTGAATTTCTCCCCCAGAAATGGGTTTTTCTTTTCTACCATGTGGCTAGGCTACAAATTTTCCGAACTTTTATGCTCTGCTTTCCTTTTAAATAAAAGTTCCAGTCTCAGATCATCTTTTTGCTCACAAACATATGCACAGACTGCTAGAAGCAGCCAGGTGAAGTCTTGAGTGTTTTGCTGCTTAGAAATTTCTCCCACTAGATACCGTAAATCACCTCTCTCAAGTTCAAAGTTCCACATATCCCTAGAGCAGGGTTACAATGCTGCCATTCTCTCTGCTGCCGCATACCAAGAGTGACCTTTGCCCCAGTTCCCAATAAATTCCTCATCTCTTTGAGACCCTCTCAGCCTGGACTTCACTGTCCCTATCACTATTAGCATTCTGGTCACAACAATTTAACAAGTCTCTAGGAAGTTCCAAACTTTCCCTCATCTTCCTGTCTTCTTGTGAACCCTCCAAACTGTGCCAACCTCTGCCCATTGCCCAGTTCCACATTTTCAGGTATCTTTATAACAGTGCCCCACTCCCAGTACCAGTTTTCTGTATTAGTCTGCTCTCACATTGCTATAAAACACTGAGACTGGGTAATTTATGAAGAAAATATATTTAATTGACCCAGGGTTCTGTGAGCTGTACAGGAAGCATGACTGGGGAGGCCTCAGGAAACTTTCAGTCATGGTGAGAGACAGAGGGGAAGCCCGCATGTCTTACATGGCTGGAGGAGGAAGAGAGTGAAGGGGGGCAGTGTCACGTACTTTTAACCAACCAGGTCTTGTGAGATCTCACTCACTTTCACAAGAACAGCAAGGGGGAAATCTGTCCCCATGATCTAATCATGTCCCACCAGGCCCCTCCTCCAATATTGGTGTTACATTTTGGTGTTATTTTGGGTAGGGACACAAGTCCAAAACCCAAATCCAAACCATATCACCTAGTATGTTCAGACTGGAATTGTTTTCCCCTAAAACTTGCTCTCCTTTTTAAACTTCCTATCTAGGCTAAAGTTACCATCGGCTGCCAAACTTGAGATTTATCCTAAAATCCTTCATCTTTCTCATCCCTTATAGCTTATTCAGATGTCCAAGTTCCACTGTCTCTGAATCTCAAACATTTCTGTTCAATATCTTAAATTCTTACCTGCCTCTGACCTGGCTACTCTCCAGCTTTTTGTATGCAAGAGTAATCTTCATAAAGTACAATTGTGTAAAACTTCCTTCAGTGACTTCCTGTTTTCTCAGATGGAGTTTGTCATCTTGGAATAATGTAGGAGACCCTTTATAATCCAGTCTTGCATAATTTTATCTTCTGTAACATTCCCATAAAATCACACAGTTGTTTTTATCTTCCTCAAAGCATCATGCTGTTTCATGTATCCATGACTAAGAATACTTCTTCCCTCATTTTCTGCTCAGTGAATTCCTACATATTCTTCAAGACTCAGGAATAGTTACTTTGGGAAGCCTTTTTGGACTTCTAAGACGTGTTAGTCACTTGTTCCTTGCTACTCCCATAAAACATTTTAAATAGCTTTATAATAGTACTTATTACATCTCTGCAAATGAGAGCATCCTGAGAGTAGAGACCATAGCTTATATTTTCTCCAGCACTCATTATCTAGTACCTGAATACAGTATATGTATGATGCCATCTTCATCATTAAAGTGGTTTACATTGTTTTTTAGTTTCAGATTTAAAAAATAATTATCATCACTCCCTTTCAGTCCATTGTAGAATTTTAACGCTACAAATTTTATTGAGAGCATCTTTATTTTTTAAAAAAAGCCTTGTGATGCTTACTTCTGTATTGTTATTAAGCTATCTTTAAGGACATCAAGTATAGTGGAGCCCAGTGTCTGCTGGATAACTTGTTACTGATATTTGAGACAGCAGTGAGAGTCTCCCATCCCACCTGCAGTACACAGAATTGCATGGAAGTGAAGGAAATGGACCAGGGTTAAATTAGGTTAAGTTGCCTTAAAACTTTAACTGGTATGTTATCCAGGCAGACCACAGTGAGATTAAAAAATAATCTGAGTTGTGTTTCTCTACACCCAGAGGTCAGTAGAGGTTTTTGTTTCTTTAAGCCCTCCATCTAGTTTTTAAGAGTGTAGATGGAGGATTTTTTTAAAAATCAGAATTAAATATTATTTTCGGTACTATAATGAAAAGCATTAATTTTTCAAAACTTCTTTAGCTGGGCATAGTGGTGCACACCTGTAGTCTCAGCTAATTGGGAGGCTGAGGTGTGAGGATCAGTTAAGCCCTGGAGTTTGAGGTTATAGTAAGCTATGATGGTGCCACTGCACTCCATCCTAGGTGACTGAGTGACACCTTGCCTCAAAAAAAATCTTCCTGTATTTGAGAAACATTATACTTTTATCCTTGAAGCTTGTTTAATATTAAATGTCAATGGAGATTTTTTTGGGGGGGTTAGTGTACTATTGTAATTACATTTTGCTTTAACGTTTTGCAGAATACATGCTGTCCTTAAGAGGGTTTTTTATTGAGTATCATTAGGGTATTTTGAGGTTCTGATGTAACATTGATAGAGATATCCCTAACATTCTTACAAAATAATACAAAATACTTGCATTCTCCATTGTGTAGCACTAAATATTTTAGTGTACTATAAAACACATGTGCCAAATGATGATGTTACAGTAATCAACAAAACAGAAATGATGAGTTAAATTTATGTTTGGGTTCATTAGATGTGAAGACATGGTAGATGTGCGAAGGTTAAAGATGCTTCAGATGGTGCAGTTGTTTAAATGCGAAGAAGACGCTGCCCAGGTAAGGACCAGTCAGCTATGTTATATAGTTAGCTTTTCTTAGAAGATTGATTTCATTTAACTACAAACAAAAGTGTACTTTTCATGGTTCTAAAAAAGTAAATTCTTCAAGTCAGATTCTAGTTTATCCTATTGAAGAATAAACTTTGGTATTCCCAGCCAGTTTATTGATCTCATTTAACTTAATCTTCTCAATGAAATCCTCTATTGAGCTAGAGATTGGGATCGTTTATTATTTATTATTGTTGATTAGGTTGTCAGTTACATCCAGGATAAAATCTGGTGCAGCTCATTGCATTTTAGCCTGCAAGAGAATTTTCAATACCATATAAACAATTTGATATCTTTTGTCATTATCATCAGAGAACATCATTTCAGTTTTAGAGAAAATTTATGATTTTATGTAGTAACACAAATCTGTAATGCAATCCTGATGGATCTATATACAGAAATACATGATCTTATGATGTGATATTAATTTTAAAAGAATGCTTTTCTTTAGTATGTCTTGCCTTCAGATTTAAAGAATTTTGAGTAGTTTGTCACTGAATGAAATAAGCTTTTAAGACTAGGTTATAATTAACGGATTCATTAATCACATGATAGTAATCTCTATATAAATATGACATTTTGATACAGTAAGTAAAGAGTTCTGAATCCAGCTTCATTGTTATGTCTTTTTGTTTAGGCAGTAGAATGGCTAAGTGAACTCCTGGATGCTCTGCTTAAGACCCACATCAGATTGGGCGATGATGCTCAAGAAACGAAAGTTTTGCTGGAAAAGCATAGAAAATTTGTTGATGTTGCACAGGTGCAAAACTGGTTATCTTCCTTTTCCACAAGCTCAGTGTTTGAATAGCTTTCTGCATGATTATAATGTAACTTTACCCTCCAAGTCCAAGAAGGTTAGTTTTGTTATTCCAGAAGTATCACAGAATTAAGAAAATGTCAGCTGGTGCATCAAAACTAGCCTGCATAAACTTGAGAGGGTTTATGTTTCCTTGAATACAGGTTCTACATGGTCCCTCTGAATTATGTTATATATTATGACATTTTTAAGGCAATCCAACTGTTCATTCATATTAACAGAATGAACTTATTTACTCATATTAACAAAATGAACTTACTGATATTAATAGAAGTTAATATGAAATGGAAGTTAATATCAGTAAATAAGAAACCTCGCTTGCTGCATCTTACTAGTGTTGGCGTAATAATATGGAACTTTTTTGTGATGAAAAGTATCTTTTTTTTTTTTTTTTTTTTTTTTTTGAGACAGAGTCTTACTCTGTCACCCAGGCTGGAGTGTAATGGTGTGATCTTGGCTCACTGCAACCTCTGCCTCCCAGCTTCAAGCAATTCTCCTGCTTCATCCTCCCCTCTGAGCAGCTAGGATTACAGGCACCTGCCATCACACCCGGCTACATTTTGTATTTTTAGCAGAGATGGGGTTTCACCATGTTAGTCAGGCTGGTCTCGAACTCCTGACCTCAAGTGGTCCACCCACCTTGGCCTCCCTAAGTGCTAGTATTATAGAGGTGAGCCACCACACCTGGCTGAAAAGTATCTTAATTTATTTTTCCTAATGAGTTTACGTTGTAACAGGTGTAGTTTCCTATGTAGAATATGAAGTGCCTAATTTCACCTACTTTTGAAAGTAGTTTAATTCATAAGCAGACATTCTTTCTAGCCAGTGAAATTTAGCAGACTGAGATGGGGGAAACAGAATAAAGTGGGGAAATTTAACAGAAAGAAACTTTCTAATTAAAAATTAAATTTTTTTCAAGATAAGGCCTTGCTCTGTCACCCAGGATGTTATGTGGTAGCACAGTCGTAGCTCACTGCATCCTCAAACTCCTGGGCTCAAGTGATCCTCCTGCCTCAGCCTCCAGAGTAGCTGGGAATACAGGCAAGTGTGGCCACACTCAACTAATTTTTTTCATTTTTTTTGAGACAGGATCTTGCTATGTTGGCTAGGCTGGTATTGAACTCCTACCTTCAAGCGATCTTCCCTCCGCAGCCTCCCAAAGTGCTGGGATTACAGGCAGGAGCCATTGTGCCTGGCCAGGAAACTTACTATAAACTAACTAAAAATATTGCTTCCCCTTTATTGTTTATACACAGCTAATTTGTAGTAGTAAGTACCACTAGATTAGTATTGATTTCTAGTAGTGTCACTTAATAATGCAACAACAGTCTTCCTGCACACTTTCCCTGTCCTTCTCTTAAAAATTCTTTTATTATAATTTCATGTTTACTTTTCTTTTTTAGAGCACTTATGACTATGGCAGGCAGTTGCTACAGGCTACAGTTGTGTTATGCCAATCTTTGCGCTGCACTTCTCGATCATCTGGAGATACACTTCCTCGGTTGAACAGAGTATGGAAACAATTTACAATAGCATCTGAAGAGAGAGTACATAGGTTGGAAATGGCTATTGCATTTCATTCAAATGCTGAAAAGGTTTGCATTTCTTTTTTTAATGTATTCTCATTAAAAAATATATAATATAATAAAGTAATATATTGTAAATAATATATTATTTATTAATATATATTATAAATAATAAAGTAAATAAAATATAATAAAGTGGTATTTATTATATATCTTTAAAAATGTTAATTTTAGTAATGTAATTATATAACTAATCTATTTTTCAATATTTATATTAGTTCCATTGTTACAGTTTGTTTAGTTATAATATATTGCCTTAGAGAGTTCAAATGAAATTTTCTTAATCCTTACCAGTGCTGGAGAGCCGTGATTAGAGAAATCCAGAACCTTGTGGTAGTCTTATCTTTACACTGCTTCTCTCCTGACCAAGCCTGGTGTCCAGAATATGCCCTCTGTTATTTGAAGTATCATGAGTTCAATCTCTTCCATTATGCCAGGAAGGGAAAATTTTTGCTTTGGCAACTGCTGTTAATTGTCACATATTTTTAAAATGGCACCTTGTGATTTTATAATTTAAGTAGAGACATTAAAAAATAAGAATAAGGACAAAAGTAAAATGCTTTTTTATATATGTTGCTTAAAGATTTATTCTAGAATTTGTTATAATGAATTAAGGTCATTAATTCCAAAAACAAATAATAAAATATACAGTGTTATTTGGAAAAATTTTCAATAGAACCTTTTTCTTACTCTTCATAGTAAGAATTTATTGTATCCAAGCCTTACATACCCAAAAGGAACTATTTTTGTTTTGATCTCTTACAATAAAAGATTATATATAGGGAATGTTGAATACATTTTGAGGTATTAGCAAACCTAACCTGATGTGTAGAACAGATGTTGCAAGGAACGTCAGGAATTAAGCAGTTTCTTTCTGAATTATGAAGTACATCTGTTGGGAAGTGTCATAGTTAACTCATTGTCAGCTGGTCGTTGAACTCCACAGATCAATGTTTGATTAACATAGGCCTAATTAAGATAAATAAAAGTATAACAAAATGCTGTAACTTGTTTATCCATTGATTGTTACAATGAGAATTTTTTTTATTATGAAGTATACTATTAACATAGAAAACATAAGACCACAAGTATTCTGTGCAGTGAGATTTCACAAAGTGAACAAACCTGTGTAATCAGTGTACTGTTCAAAAAAAAACAGAACATTACCATCACCCAGAAGCTCCCTCCTACCTCTTGTAGTCACAGTACTGCTTCCCCGACTACCTCACTGTCAAACGGTGACCACTGGCCCAGTGTCTAGCATCACTGATAAAAAAATAATATTCTAAAAAGTTAATTGCATTTTAGGTTTTGGGTTACATGTGAAGAACATGCAAGATTGTTGCATAGGTACACACATGGCAGTGTGATTTGCTATGATCCTCCCCATCACCGGTATCTGGCATTTCTCCCCATGCTCTCTCTCCCCAACTCCCCACCCCCTGCTGTCCCTCCCCTGTTTCCCCCCAACAGACCCAAGTGTGTGATGCTCCCCTCCCTGTGTCCATGTGTTCTCATTGTTCAACAACCACCTATGAGGGAGAACATGCGGTGTTTCATTTTCTGTTCTTGTGTCAGTTTGCTGAGAATGATGGTTTCCAGGTTCATCCATGTCCCTACAAAGGACACGAACTCATCGTTTGTTATGGGTGCATAGTATTCCATGGTATATATGTGCCACATTTTCCCTGTCCAGTCTATCATTGATGGGCATTTGGGTTGGTCCCAGGTCTTTGCTATTGTAAACAGTGCTGCAGTGAACATTTGTGTGCATGTGTCCTTATAGTAGGATGATTTATAATCCTTTGGATATATACCCAGTAATGGGATTGCTGGGTCAAATGGAATTTCTATTTCTAGGTCCTTGAGGAATCGCCACACTGCCTTCCACAATGGTTGAACAAATTTACACTCCCACCGACAGTGTAAAAGTGTTCCTATTTCTCCACATTCTCTCCGGCATCTGTTGTCTCCAGACTTTTTAATGATCACCGTTCTAACTGGTGTGAGATGGTATCTCAGTGTTGTTTTGATTTGCATTTCTCTAATGACCAGTGATGATGAGCTTTCTTTTCCATATGTTTGTTGGCCTCCTGTATGTCTTCTTTTGTAAAGTATCTGTTAATATCCTTCACCCATTTGAATATGCTTTTTTCTTGTAAATCTGTTTTAGTTCTCTGTAGATTCTGGATATTAGCCCTTTGTCAGATGGGTAGATTGCAAAAATTTTTTCCCATTCTGTTGGTTGCTGATTCACTCTAATGACTGTTTCTTTTGCTGTGGAGAAGCTGTAGAGTTTGATTAGGTCCCATTTGTCTATTTTGGCTTTTGTTGCCAAGGCTTTTGGTGTTTTGGTCATGAAGTCTTTGCCTATGCCTATGTCCTGAATGGTTTTGCCTAGGTTTTCTTCTAGAATTTTTATGGTGTTAGGTCTTATATTTAAGTCTTTAGTCCACAGGAGTTAATGTTAGTGTAAGATGTCAGGAAGGGGTCCAGTTTCTGCTTTCTACACATGGCCAGCCAGTTTTCCCAGCACCATTTATTAAACAGGGAATCCTTTTCCCATTGCTTGTTTTTGCCAGTTTTGTCAAAGATCAGATGGTTGTAGATGTGTGGTGTTGCCTCCGAGGCCTCTGTTCTGTTCCATTGGTCTATATCTCTGTTTTGGTACCAGTACCATGCTGTTTTGATTATTGTAGCCTTGTAGTATAGTTTGAAGTCTGGTAGTACGATGCCTCCGGCTTTGTTTTTTTTTTTTTTTTTTTTTCGCTTAGAATTGACTTGGCTATGTGGGCTCTGTTTTGGTTCCATATGAAGTTTAAGGTGGTTTTTTCCAGTTCTGTGAAGAAGGTCATTGGTAGCTTGATGGGGTTAGCATTAAATCTGTAAATTACTTTGGGCAGTATGGCTATTTTCCAATATTGATTCTTCCTATCCATGAGCATGGAATGTTTCTCCATCTGTTTGTGTCCTCTCTTATTTCCTTGAGCACTGGTTTGTAGTTCTCCTTGAAGAGGTCCTTTATGTTTCCTGTTTTGTTGTATTCCTAGATATTTTATTCTCTTTGTAGCAATTGTGAATGGCAGTTCGTTCTTGATTTGGCTCTCTTTAAGTCTGTTATTGGTGTATAGAATGCTTGTGATTTTTGTATATTGATTTTGTATCCTGAGACTTTGCTGAAGTTGCTTATCAGTTTCAGGAGATTTTCGGCTGAGACGATGGGGTCTTCTAAGTATACATTCATGTCATCTGCAAATAGAGACAATTTAACTTCCTCCTTTCCTATTTGAATACCTGTTATTTATTTTTCTTGTCTGATTGCTTTGGCTGGAACTTCCAATACTGTATTGAATAGGAGTGGTGAGAGAGGGCATCTTTGTCTAGTGCCAGATTTAAGAGGGAATGCTTCCAGTTTTTGTCCATTCAGTATGATATTGGCTGTTGGTTTGTCATAAATAGCTTTTATTATTTTGAGATACGTTCCATCAATACCTAGTTAATGAGGGTTTTTAGCATAAAGGGCTGTTGAATTTTGTCAAAGGCCTTCTCAGCATCAATTGAGATAAACAGAACCAAAGACAAAAACCACATGATTATGTGGTGAATTACGTTTATAGACTTGCATTTGTTGAACCAGCCTTGCATCCCTGGAATGAAGCCTACTTGATCATGGTGGATAAGCTTTTTGATGTGCTGTTGCAATAGGATTGCTAGTATTTTATTGAATATTTTTGCATCTGTGTTCATCATGGATATTGGCCTAAAGTTTTCTTTTCTTGTTGAGTCTCTGCTAGGTGTTGGTATCAGGATGATGTTGGTTTCATAAAATGATTTGGGAAGGATTCCCTCTTTTTGGATTATTTGGAATAGTTTCAGAAGGAATGGTACCAGCTCCTCTTTGTATGTCTCGTAGAATTCGGCTGTGAACCCGTCTGGACCTGGGCTTTTTTTGGGTGGTAGGCTCTTAATTGCTGCCTCCACTTCTGCCCTTGTTATTGGTCTATTCTGGATTTCGACTTCTTCCTGGTTTGGGCTTGGAAGGATGCAAGTGTCCAGGAATTTATCCATTTCTTCCAGCTTTACTAGTTTATGTGCATAGAGTTGTTTGTAATAATCTTTGATGATGGTTGGCATTTCTGTGGAATCTGTGATTATATCACCTTTATCATTTTTTATTGCATCTATTTGATTATTCTTTTTTATTAATCTGGCTAGTGGTCTATTTTGTTGATCTTTTCAAAGAACCAGCTCCTGGATTTATTGATTTTTTGAAGGGTTTTTTTGTGTCTTTACCTCCTTCAGTTCTACTCTGATCTTAGTTATTTCTTGTCTTCTGCTAGGTTTTGAGTTTTTTTTATTTTGCTCCTCTAGCTCTTTCAATTTTGACTATAGGGTGTCGATTTTAGATCTTTCCTTGCTTCTCATGTGGGCATTTATTGCTATATATTTTCCTCTAGACACTGCTTTAAATGTGCCTGAGATTCTGGTATGTTGTGTCTTCATTCTCATTGGTTTCGAAGAACAACTGTATTTCTGCCTTCATTTCATTGTTTATCCAGTCAACATTCAAGAGCTAGTTGTTCAGTTTCCATGAAGATGTGCGGTTCTGAGTTAGTTTCTGAATTCTGAGTTCTAACTTGATTGCACGGTTGTCTGAGAGAATGTTATGATTTCTGTTCTTTTGCATTTGCTGAGGAGTGATTTACTTCCAATTATGTGGTCAGTTTTAGAGTAGGTGTGATGTGGTGCTGAGAAGAATGTATATTCTGTGGATTTGGGGTAGAGAGTTCTGTAAATGTCTATTAGGTTTGCTTGTTCCAGATCTGAGTTCAAGTCCTGGATATCCTTGTTAATTTTCTGTCTCATTGATCTGTCTAATATTGACAATGAGGTGTTAAAGTCTCCCACTATTATTGTGTGAGAGTCTAAGTCTCTTTGTAGGTCATAAGAACTTGCTTTATGTATCTGGGTGCTCCTGTACTGGGTGGTATGTATTTAGGATTGTTAGCTCCTCTTGTAGCATGGATCATTTTTCCATTATGTAATGTCCTTCTTTGTCTCTTTTGATCTTTGTTGGTTTAAAGTCTATTTTATCACAGACGAGAATTGCAACTCCTGCTTTTTTTTGCTCTCCATTTGCTTGGTAAGTCTTCCTCCATCCCTTTATTTTGAACCTTTGTGTATCCTTGCACGTGAGATGGGTTTCCTGGAAACAGCACACAGATGGGTTTTGACTTTTTATCCAATTTGCCAGTCTGTGTCTTTTGATTGGGGTTTGTGGCCCATTTACATTTAGGGTTAATATTGTTATATGTGAATTTGATCCTGCCATTTTGATGCTAGCTGACTATATTGCCCATTAGTTGCAGTTTCTTCATTCTGTCGGTGCTCTTTACCATTTGGTATGTTTTTGGAGTGGCTGGTACTGGTTGTTCCTTTCTATCTTTAGTGCTGCTTTCAGGAGCTTTTGTAAGGCAGGCCTAGTGGTGATGAAATCTCTAAATATTTGCTTGTTCATAAAAGATTTTATTTCTCCTTCACTTATGAAGCTTAGTTTGGCTGGTTATGAAATTCTGGGTTGAAAGTTCTTTTCTTTAAGGATGTTGAATATTGGCCCCCAGTCTCTTCTGGCTGTAGGGTTTCTGCTGAGAGATGTGCTGTGAGTCTGATGGGCTTCCTTTTGTGGGTAACCCGACCTTTCTCTCTGGCTGCCCTTAGCATTTTCTCCTTCATTTCAACCCTGGTGAATCTGACGATTATGTGCCTTGGGGTTGCTCTCCTTGAGGAATGTCTTTGTGGTGTTCTCTGTATTTCTTTGACTTGAATATTGGCTTGCCTTGCTAGGTTGAGGAAGTTTTCCTGGATAATATCCTGAAGAGTATTTTCCAACTTGGATTCATTCTCTCCATCACATTCAGTTACACCTATCAAACGTAGATTAAGTCTTTTCACACAGTCCCATATTTCTTGGAGACTTTATTCATTCCTTTTTACCCTTATTTGTCTAATCTTGCCTTCTCGTTTTATTTCTTTGACTTGATCTTCGACCTCTGATATCTTTTCTTCTGCTTGGTCATTTCGGCTGTTGTAACTTGTGTATGCTTCACGAAGTTCTCGTGTTGTGTTTTTCAGCTCCATCAATTCACTTATATTTTTCTCTAAGCAGTTTATTCTCATTAGCATTTCGTCAAATCTTTTTTCACAGTTCTTAGTTTCTTTGCATTGGGTTAGAACATGTTCTTTTAGCTCGGAGAAGTTTCCTATTCCCCACCTTCTGAAGCCTGTTTCTGCCAATTCATCACACTCATTCTCCATCCAGCCTTGTTCCCTTGCTGGTGACGAGTTGTGATCCCTTGTAGGAGGAGAGGTGTTCTGGTTTCAGGTGTTTTCATCCTTTTTGTACTGGTTTCTTCCCATCTTTGTGGAATTATCCACCTGTCATCTTTGTAGTTGTTGACTTTCAGATTAGGTTTCAGAGTGGACATCCAGTTTGTTGATGAGGAAGTTATTTCTTTCTGTTTTTTAGTTTTCCTTTTAACAGGCCCCTCTGCTGTAGGACTGCTGAGGTCCACTCCAGGCCCTGCTTGCCTGGGGATCACCTGCAACGGCTGTACAACAGTAAGGGTTGCTGCCACTTTCTTCTTCTGCTATCTTTGTCCCAGAAGGATACCCACCAGATGTCAGCCTGAGCTCTCCTTTATGAGGTGACTCTTTGGATATACAGGGGTCAGGGAGCTGCTTGAGGAGACAGACTGTCCTTTATAGGAGCTCAAGTGCTGAGCTGTGAGCTCCGTTGTTCATTCAGAGCTGCTGGGCAGGTACGTTTAAAAGTCTGCTGCAGCAGAACTCATAAATGCCCTTTTTTTGTTCCCCAGGTGCTCTCTCCCTGGTAGTTAGGGCTTTATTTATAAGTTTCTGTCATGCTGCTGCCTTTTTTCAGGGCTGCCCTGCCCAGCAAAGAGGCAGCCTAGTCACAGTCTGCCTGCAGAGGCTTTGCTGAGCTGCTGTGGGCTCTGCCCAGCTGCCGTGTGAACTTCCCTGCAGTCCTGTTTATACATGGATAGTTAGAACTGCCTTGGCAGTGGCAGCCCACCTCTGTAAAGGTGGACTCTCTCTGTAGTGGCGGGCTGCCTTGGCAATGGTGGGCTGCCTCGGCAATGGTGGGCTGCCTCAGCAATGGTGTACTACTTCGGTAGTGGTGGATGGCCTTGGTAATGGTGGACACCCCTTCCCCACAGAGCTGGACCGTCCCAGGTTCAGCAGCGCTTGCTGTGAAACTCTCAATACAGTGCGTTTAAGATTGCTGTTTTTTTGTGGGTGTGGGGCCGGCTGAGCCTGATCACCTGGCTCCCTGCCTCAGACCCCCTTTTTTTTTTTTCAGTTGAATGGGTGACTCCCAGGTGTTCCAGTCGCCTGTTGAAAAGGTGCTGGGATCTGTGTGATTTCCCATGTGGCGACCCACTGTGCCAGCTGAAACAGCCACGCTGAGATTTGTGGTACTTTTTTGCCCAGGAATCTCCTGGCCTGGCTCCCTGTTTCAGTACCCCTTTTATCAGTTTAATGGGCGACTCTGTCTCCAGGGAGCTCCAATCCCCAGCTAAAATGGCTCCTCGACCCATGTATTTTGTGCGGAGACCAGCCATGCTGGCGACTCTTGGGGCTCCCCCACCTGGCAATCTCCTGGTCTGTGGGCAATAAAAATCCGTCTGGAAATGCGGCGTCCACTCACCGTCCACTCTTTCCCTGGGAGCTCCAATCCTGAGCTGCTCCTAATTGGCCATCTTGGATCCGTCTCCTAGAATACTACTTTTAACTACCTTTTGATGAGTGATATTAGAACGAATAAAATTGAGAGGGTTTTTTAACAGAATTTTGTTTCCATTTTTTTCTGTTACCTAAAACTTTGGTTATAGTAAATTTGATTTAAATTTGATTTAATTAGGTTGTACAAAGATAAGTAAATCAAGCATAAACAAAATAAAGCATCAATATAAATAACCACAACTGTAAACAAATTGTATAATGATTAGAAAAATATCTAAATCTTGAGTTTTAAAATACAAAATTGTCTGTTCCTCAGTAATGCTAAAGTAAACATGATTGGTTGACATAAAGTGTAATGCAAAAAAAAGTTTTGATAATGAATAATACTTCTTTTTCTTCTCTCTCAAATTTAGCAGCTCTTCCTTGTAGTTTAATTTAATTGATAATGGTTAAGGTGAAAATAAAGAACTATATCTCATCAAGGATTATAGAGATTCTCATATCTGAATTATAACCTAATCATTTACATCAGTTAACTCAAGCCAGCAGATCAGTTGTTAAATATTATCTAGCTAAGTCATCACATCAGTTACATGTTTGTATTTTGTTGTTTTTTATTTATAATAGTTTTTCATTTGCAATGTCTTTATGTTCTTTGAGAACAGAGTCTATACCTCCTTTACCTTCCAGGCTGCTAAATAAACATAAAGTGAACTTATTTTTCAAATAGTAGTCTAGCATTTTCTTTCTTGGAAATCACCATATTGTTAGTAGGAATTATGTTATTTCATTTTGTTGTTTGAATTTCTTGAGCATTTAGCAATAATAGATCAATCTTATATCGTGTACTTGAAGATGTTAAAAACAAAAAATGCCTTTATGTGAGCTTGATTCCATTTCTGTGTCTTTTTTTTCCCCCCTTCGGATTCTCTGAAACTACAGACCTTTCTGTATCTCTTGATTGATACTGCTTTTTTGTTTGTTACAGATTTTGCAGGACTGTCCAGAAGAGCCTGAAGCTATTAATGATGAGGAGCAATTTGATGAAATTGAAGCAGTTGGGAAATCACTTTTGGATAGATTAACTGTTCCTGTAGTTTATCCTGATGGGTATGGAGCATGTTCTTATAATTTTATTTTTTATTGGTGTGGTCTTAAAGTGAAATCATTAAAAGAGGAAATCTGTTCTTTAAAAAGCTAAGTAAATTAGGTTTGGTCCACATCTTTAACTCCTACAATAAATTAGTTTAAAATGAAAAGAAATTCACACAGCTCTTAGCCACAGTGATGGTACTTGCTGACATCAAATGTGTTGCTTCTTGACAGCTTGTTGTAGAATGATCATTGACTAGATTAAGACATTGGGTTCTAGACTTGGCTATAATGGTAGGGAGTAGTGTGACTTGGGGCTTCATTCAGGAAAAGGAAGAGGGGACAAGGGACTAATGTTTAGTGAGTTCATAATATACGCCAAGTACCAAGTGAAACACTTCACCTTCATTACTTTTGACCAAAGAGGACCAGACCAGTATGATTATTCCTGATTTACAAATGAAGAAACTGAGGCCCAGGGAGATTAAGTAAGGCTCTCAGGATTTCACAGCTTCTAAGTGACAGAGTAAGGATACAATCTCAGGTCTGTCTGGCTCCAGACCCATTCTCTTTGCACTCAGCTATATGGCATTCTAACTTCTTTATGTGTGAAGGGATGGGGTCCTGATTTTCTAACATCTTTCCATGTCAAATAATAGTCAATTATAAAAATATGAAATAATCTGATGCAAAATAAATGGACCAGGAAAAAAATCAGTAGGCACTTTATCCTTGGTGATTTAAACCTGATTCTTAGCAAAAATAATTTAGACGTAATCCAGAGGATATTTAATTCAAATGATAGCATAACCAAACCACTAAGTAAAAATATAAGTATCCTTAACATTGTGGTATAGTGTGATGAGTGCATCTGTGGACTCTGGAGCCAGTGCTCTCAGCTCCACCACATACTCACTATAACACCTTGGGCAAGCCACTTAACCTCTTTGTGCCTCAACTCCCTCATCTAAAAACAGCGATGTAACACTCATACCTCCTCAGGTTATGGGGGTGGGGGAATTACCTGAGCTAAATAAATATACAGTACTTAAAACAGATCTGACTCATAATAAGCACTGCTACTACTGTGCCATGATCTTGCAGTGATTATTTGGGATTGATATTGAAAAGATGGCATTTTATTCCCTTGAAAGAATATTATTCATAGTCTGTATTTATGTAATCTCAAGCCATGTCTAAACTTAAACAATCAGAAGTAGCCTACAGTCACCTAAAGTCGTATTATACATCTCCAATAAAAGAGACAAAATTCAACTAGTAACAAAATTATAGGCGTGATTCTTATAGTTCCATTTCAGGATCCCTTACCCTCCCTGATTCCGACATTTCACAGCCAGTTGTCACACAGTCTCCTCTTCTAACCAGGTCAGCATAGGAGCACCTCTCCCTGGTATGCTTGCTTTAGCTTCTCGTCTGTTTTTCACAAACAGCCCATGGGTCTTTCCTCATCTTTTTAAGATAAAAGAATGATAGTACTGTATATTCAAAGTTCACAAATACCCACCTTTAATATTTTGGAATTGCCATTTTATTCCATTTTATATTCATATTAAAATTTATGTATATCTCTTTTAGATATTTTGCTAAATTAAATATTATGCAAAGTTGTGTACAATGTTCTCCGTAATTGCTAATATGATGGTAATCTGTGTCATGTAAAGTTTGTTTGGCAGGTTATACAGATTTGTCTTTTATACCATCTCCTGGTAAAATAAAAGAGATTGATGATCTCTCTGGATTCACTGCGCGAAGACCTAGCGTCAAATTCTGGTTTTTCCCTGTGTGACCTTGCTTACATCATTTAACTTCCTAGGCTCTACATTTTGATCTAAAAAATAAAGAGATTAACCTGGAATTTCTAAAGTTCACATGGCAGCTGGCCAGAGCCCATGGCAGCTCATCAACTCCTCTGCTGGCAGACTGACTAGCTACCTCCTTGCTGGGCAGGACACCTCTGAAAAAGGCAGCAGCACATAAGGAACTTATAAATAAAGCCCCACCTTCCCAGGGCAGAGCACCTGGGAAAAAAAGGTGGTTATGAGTTCCACTGCAACAGACTTAAACGTACCTGCCCAGCAGCTCTGAATGGAATGACGGAGCTCATAGCTCCACACTGGAGCTCCTATAAGGGATAGACTGTCTCCTCAAGCAGCTGCCTAACCCCGTATATCCAAAGAGACACCTCATAAAGGAAAGCTCAGGCTGACATCTGGCGGGTATCCTTCTGGGACAAAGATAACAGAAGAAGCTGGCAGCAACCCTTACTGCTCTTCAGCCACTGCAGGTGATCCCCAGGCAAGCAGGGCCTGAATTGGACCTCAGCAGTCCTACAGCAGAGGGGCCTGTTAGAAGGAAAACTGAAAAACAGAAAGAAATACCTTCATCATCAAGAAAAAGGACGTCCACACAGAGACTCCATCTGAAAGTCACCAACTACAAAGACCACAGGTAGATAAATCCACAAAGATGGGAAGAAACCAGCACAGAAAGGATGATAACACCCAAAACCAGAAAGCCTATCCTCCTCCAAGGGATCACAACTCATCACCAGCAAGGGAACAAGGCTGGATGGAGAATGAGTGTGATGAATTGGCAGAAACAGGCTTCAGAAGGTGGGGAATAGGAAACTTCTCCGAGCTAAAAGAACATGTTCTAACCCAATGCAAAGAAACTAAGAACCTTGAAAAAAGTTTTGATGAAATGCTAATGAGAATAAACAGCTTAGAGAAAAATATAAGTGAATTGATGGAGCTGAAAAACATAACACGAGAACTTCATGAAGCATACACAAGTTTCAATAGTCGAATCGACCAAGCAGAAGAAAGGATATCAGAGATTGAAGATCAACTCAATGAAATAAAATGAGAAGGCAAGAATAGAGAAAAAAGGGTTAAAAGGAATGAACAAAGACTCCAAGAAATACAGGATTATGTGAAAAGAACTATATGCATTTATAGGTGTACCCGAATGTGACGGAGAGAATGAATCCAAGCTGGAAAATACTCTTCAGGATACTATCCAGGAGAACTTCCCCAACCTAGGAAGGCATGCAAATATTCAAGTCCAGGAAATACAGAGAACAACACAAGTATTCCTCAAGAAGAGCAACCCCAAGGCACATAATCGTCAGATTCACCAGGGTTGAAATGAAGAAAATTGCTAAGGGCAGCCAGAGAGAAAGGTCAGGTTACCCACAAAGGGAAGCCCATCAGACTCATAGCAGATCTCTCAGCAGAAACCCTGCAAGCCAGAATAGAATGGGGGCCAATATTCAACATCCTTAAAGAAAAGAACTTTCAACCCAGAATTTCATAACCAGCCAAACTAAGCTTCATAAGTGAAGGAGAAATAAAATCCTTTATGAACAAGCAATTGCTCAGAGATTTCATCAGCACTAGGCCTGCCTTACAAGAGCTCCTGAAAGAAGCACTAAAGATAGAAAGGAACAACCAGTACCAGCCACTCCAAAAATGTACCAAATGGTAATGAGCATTGACACAATTAAGAAACTGCATCCACTAACAGGCAAAACAACCAGCTAGCATCAAAATGGTAGGATCAAATTCACAAATAAGAGTATTAACCTTAAATGTAAATGAGCTAAATGCCCCAATCAAAAGACACAGACTGGCAAATTAGATAAAAAGTCAAAACCCATCAGTGTGCTGTATCCAGGAAACCCATCTCACATGTAAGGATACACATAGGCTCAAAATAAAGGGATGGAGGAAGATTTACCAAGCAATTGGAAAGTAAAAAAAAAGTAGGAGTTGCAATCGTTAAGTCTCTGATAAAATAGACTTTAAACCAACAAAGATCAAAAGAGACAAAAAAGGGCATTATATAATGGTAAAAGGATCATTGCAACAAGAAGAACTAACGATCCTAAATATATATGCACCGAATATAGGAGCACCCAGATTAAAAAAAAAAAAAGGAATTTGCTTTACATAAGACAGAGTCTTGCTCTGTCGCCAGGCACCAGGCTGGAGTGCAGCGGCATGTTCTCGGCTCACTGCAACCTCTGCTTCCCGGGTTCAAGCAATTCTCCTACCTCAGCCTCCTGAGTAGCTGGGACTATAGGTGCACGCCACCAGGCCCAGCCAATTTTTGTATTTTTAGAAGAGACAGGGTTTCACCATGTTGGCCACGATGGTCTCGATCTCTTGACCTTGTGATCCGCCCACCTCAGCCTGGCAAAGTGTTGGGATTACAGGCGTGAGCCACCACGCCTGGCCTATAAAGCAAGTTCTTAATGACCAACAAAGAGACTTAGACTCTCACACAATAATTGTGGGAGACTGTAACACTCCATTTCAATATTAGACAGATCAATGAGATAGAAAATTAACAAGGATATCCAGGACTTGAACGCAGATCAGGACCAAGCAAACCTAATAGACATTGACAGAACTCTCCACCCCAAATCCACAGAATATATATTCCTCTCAGCACCACATCACACGTACTCTAAATTGACCACATAATTGGCAGTAAGTCACTCCTCAGCAAATTCAAGAGAATGGAAATCATAACAAACAGTCTCTCAGACCACAGTGTAATCAAATTTGAACTCAGGATTCAGAATCTAACTCAGAACCACACAACTTCATGGAAACTGAACAACTGCCTCTTGAATGTTGACTGGATAAATGATGAAATTAGGGCAGAAATAAAGATGTTCCTCAAACCCAATGAGAATGAAGACACAATGTATCAGAATATCTGGGACACATTTAAAGCAGTGTCCAGAGAGAAATTTACAGCGATAAATGCCCACATGAGAAGCAAGAAAATATCTAAAACTGACACCCTATCATCAAAATTAAAAGAGCTAGAGGACAAGATCAAAAAACTCAAAAGCTAGCAGAAGACAAGAAATAATTAAGATTAGAACAGAACTGAAGGAGATAGAGGCACAAAAATCCCTTCAAAAAATCAATAAATCCAGGAGATGGTTTTTTGAAAAGATCAACAAAACAGACAGAACACAGCCAGATTAAAAAAAAGAAAAGAGAGAAGAAGCAAGTAGATGCAATGAAAAGTGATAAAGGGATATCACTGCCCTTTCCACAGAAATACAAACTGCCATCAGAGGTCACTACAAACAACTCTATGCACATAAACCAGTAAACCTGAAAGAAATGGATAAATTCCTGGGCACTTGCACCCTTGCAAGCCTAAACCAGGAAGAAGTCAAAACCCTGAAGAGACCAATAACAAGGGCTGAAGTTGAGGCAGCAATTAATAGCCTACCAACCAAAACTAGCCCAGGTCCAGATGGGTTCGCAGCTGAATTCTACCAAACACACAAAGAGCAGCTCGTACCACTCCTTCTGGAACTATTCCAAACAATTCAAAAAGAGGGAATCCTTCCCAGATCATTATATGAGACCAACATCATCCTAATACCAAAACCCACCAGAGACTCAACGAGAAAAGAAAACCAGGCCAATATCCATGATGAACAGATGCAAAAATCTTCAATAAAATACTGGCAAACTGATTGCAACAGCACATCAAAAAGCTTATTCATCACGATCGGGCAGGCTTCATCCCAGGGATGCAAGGCTGGTTCAACATACGCAAGTCTATAAACGTAATCCACCACACAAACAAAACCAAAGACAAAAAACACATGATTATTTCAATAGATGCAGAGAAGGCCTTCAACAGAATTCAACAGCCCTTTATGCTAAAAATTCTCAATAAACTAGGTATCGATAGAACATATCTGAAAATCATAAAAGCTATTTACAACAAACCAACAGCCAATATCATAGTGAATGGGCAAAAACTGGAAGCATTCCCTCTGAAATCTGGCACTAGACAAGGATGCCCTCTCTCACCACTCCTATTCAATATAGTATTGGAAGTTCTAGCCAGAGCAATCAGGCAAGAAAAAGAAATAAAGCGTATTCAAATAGGAAAGGAGGAAGTCAGATTGTCTCTATTTGCAGACAACATGATTGTATATTTAAAAGACCCTATCATCTCAGCCCCAAATCTCTGGAAACGCTTAGCAAATTCAGCAGAGTCTCAGGATACAAAATCAATGTGCAGAAATCAGAAGCATTCCTATACACCAATAACAGAATTAAAGAAAGCCAAATCAAGAATGAACTGCCATTCACAATTGCTACAAAGAGAATAAAGTACCTAGGAATACAACAGGATGTAAAGAACCTCTTCAAGGAGAACTATAAACCACTGCTCGAGGAAGTAAGAGCAGACACAAACGGAAAAGCATTCCATGCTCATGGTTAGGAAGAATCAATATTGTGAAAATGGCCATACTGCCGAGAGTAATTTACAGATTCATTGCTATCCCAATCAAGCTACCTATGACCCTCTTCACAGAACTGGAAAAAACCAACTTCAACTTCATATGGAACCAAAGAGAGCCCACATAGCCAAGTCAATTTTAAGCAAAAAGAACAAAGCTGAAGGCATCACGCTACCTGACTTGAAACTATACTACAAGGCTACAGTAATCAAAATAGCATTGTATTGATACCAAACAGAGATATAGACCAGTGCAACAGAACAGAGGCCTCAGAGGAAATGCCACACATCTACAAACATCTGCCCTTTGACAAACCCGACAAAAACAAGCAATGGGGAAAGCATTCCCTGTTTAATAAATGGTGTTGGGAAAACTGGCTAGCCATGTGCACAAAGCAGAAACTAGACCCCTTCCTGATACCTTACACTAAAATTAACTCCAGATATATTAAAGACATAAACCTAAGACCTAATACCATAAAATCCCTAGAAGAAAACCTAGGCAAAACCATTCAGGGGCATAGGTATAGGCAAGGACTTCATGACTAAAACACCAAAAGCATTGGCAACAAAAACCAACTTAGACAAATGGGATTTAATTAACCTCCAGAGTTTCTGCATTGCAAAAGAAACAATCATTAGAGGGTACTGGCAACCAACAGAATGGGAAAAAATTTTTGCAATCTACCCATCTGACAAATGGCTAATATCCAGAATCTACAAAGAACTAAAACAGATTTACAAGAAAAAAAAAACAAACCCATTCAAAAGTGGGTGAAGGATATGAACAGACTCTTTTCAAAAGAAGATATATATGAGGCCAACAAACACATGAAAAATGCTCATCATCACTGATCATTAGAGAAATGCAAATCAAAACCACATTGGGATACCATCTCATGCCATTTAGAATGGCGATCATTACAATATCTGGAGACAACAGATGCTGGAGAGGATGTGGAGAAATAGGAACACTTTTACACTATTGGTGGGAGTATAAATTAGCTTAATCATTGTGGAAGGCAGTGTGGTGATTCCTCAAGGACCTAGAAATAGAAATTCCATTTGACCCAGCAATCCCATTATGGGGTATATATCCAAAGGATTATAAATCATTCTTTTATAAAGACACATGCACATGTATGTTCCTTGCATCACTGTTTACAATAGCAAAGACCAGGAACCAACCCAAATGCTCTTCAATGATAGACTAGACAGGGAAATTGTGGCATATATACATCATGGAATACTATGCAGCCAAAAAAAACGATGAGTTTGTGTCCTTTGTAGGGACATGGATGAACCTGGAAACCATCATCCTCAGCAAACTGACACAAGAACAGAAAAATCGAACACCGCATATTCTCACTCATAGGCAGGGTCCATGAAAACACATGGACACAGGGAGGGGAGCATCACACACTGAGGTCTGTTGGTGGGGAATAGGGGAGGGACAGTGGGGTAGGGAGGTTGGGGAGGGATAACATAGGTTGAAATGCCAGATATATGTGATGGGGATGGAGTCAGTAAACCACATTGCCATGTATGTACCTATGCAACAATCCTGCATGTTCTTCACATGTACCCCAGAACCTAAAGTGCAATAATATGTGTGTGTGTATATATATATATATGTATATATATATATATATATATATATAAAGAAATCTTCCAGCTCTAAAAATACTGTGAATCTGAATACAGTATTTGTGATTAGAATAAAATTAATGATTTTATCTGTTAATGTACGAAAACAATGCCGTAACATAAGAAGAATATTTATTTTGCTTGCCAGCTGTATAGAAAAGTGGTGTCCCCAGCCAGTAGCACTTAAGTACATGTACAGATTTTATGTTTGTATATGCTTCAGGACCCACATATTTACAATGTTTCATTGTTCAGTTTGTTGCTATTATCATAAGTACACATGATACAACTTTTATACCACTAATATATGTATTTTATGTGATTAAAAAAATTGTTTTTTCCTGCTGAATTTCCTGCTCAAAGATAAACAGTATGATCACAGATGAACTGATATTTACACATAGGCTAGCTCATGTAGATTTTTTATGGTAAATTTTTGCTTCTATTTGTATTCACTGCAGTTAATGGATTTGTATTAATCTGAGGTTTCTCTGTGTGTTTTGATTTTTAGAACCGAACAATATTTTGGGAGTCCAAGTGACATGGCTTCTACTGCAGAACACATCAGAGACAGGATGAAACTAGTTAGTCTCAAAAGGCAGCAGCTGAGACATCCTGAAATGGTGACCACAGAGAGCTAATAGACACCAGCTACCTACAGATTTGCAGTTCGTAATCCCGCATGTTGTCAACATAATATATAGCATTAGCCACAACACATTAAGATGCATTTCACAGCCAGAATAAGCCTCATTTCTTTTCATGACATTTCTCTCTACATGTTAACACCTTGCTACTACTAAGGCATAATTATTTAACATGCTTCAAGGCTATAAACTCCAAGTATCTTAAAAGAAGGAACTATAAACATTGCACTGAAAACTTGCTTTAAAGCTTTATTTGACCTGTCAGTTTGCAGATGAACAACTGATAATAAGCTTTGAATGGTGCTAATAAGAGTAGGAGTTATCTCTATTTAAAAAAAAAAAAAAAAAGATTGCCCTTCCTCCACTGGTGATTTAGTAAATTTAGACAGTAGTTAAACTCTTATTAGTAGACAGTGGTGTCCTCAAAATTTTACTTTGTAATTCTTCAGAATTGATTATTTTTATTGTGTCAATATGAAGAAAACCTTTCAGATCTTTGATATATCATAGTCATTAAAAGACCTTTTCTTATTTGTATTTATAATGTATTAAAAGTTGTTTGTGCTTAATAAAAGACTTCTTTAAACATCTTATTTAATTTAGTAGTTACATCCTATTTCCAAACATGAGTGCCTTATTTAAAAGGGCATTCTTAGGACTGTGAGGATGGTTTAGTATTTGTTTTTTCATGGTGGTTGCATGTATTTTAGACAGGAAATTCATATGTAAGCATGTATATATAATAAATAAGCATGTTTTATTATGAAAAATTATTGTGAAGAACAATTTAGATCTTTAAGAACTTATTAATAATGGAATAAGTTTCTCTTCTTCAACTTGAAAAATATTCTCAAAATTATTAACTACCCTGAAGATACTTTGTCTTTAGGGGAGGAGGGCTGAGGAAGAAGGCATACATAATTACTTCAGTGTAATCCTTCATAACAAAGTAATCTTTCTGGAACTAAAATAGCAATTGTTAATAAAATTTAGTTTCTCATTATAGTCTAAAAGCAAAATAAATTCTGAAGTAGTCCAATAACAGAACTGTATGACTCCTTTAGAAATAAAATTTATCATGAAATGCTAGTGCTTTTAAGTTTGTATTAAGTTCAAATGGTAAAATGCAAATATAATTTAAATTTTGTGTATTTTTATTTCAGAAAAGGCTTTTTAAAAGATTAAAAATTATTTTTTAGGCTTGTAGTCATTACAAAAGTATGGTCTACAAACATGTTGAAGTAACCTTCAATGCAAAAAAACAACTCCCTCTTACCCTGTTAGTTTTTCCAGCCTTCTTCACTGATAGACTTCTTGGAGAATCCACATCCAGTGCCCCTACATCTTCACGACTCACTACACAGCACCTCACAGTCTGGTTTTACACAGCACTCTAATGAAACTGTTCTTTTGAAAGTCAACAATGGGCTCCCAGTTACCAAACTGAATGGTGTTTTTCTCTCTCTGAATCCCTTACCCTTTTCTCTCTGCAACATTTATACCATTGAGCAACCTTCCTAGACAGTGTTTCCTTCCTTGAAGATGCTATCCTCTGAAACAACTGTGAGTGTAGTCACATAACCCTTATTTAAGATGTGCCTGCTGAACATATGCTCTCTCACATCCTGTCCTCAGAATGCTTTTGGGCTCTTTTCTAGGTATCTCATCCTTATGGTTGTTATTTTATACCAATGTTCTGGATTACATATCTGGTCCAGAAATCTAGACTTGTACTTCTTTTTAATTGCCTACTTGATATTTCAACCTGGATTAAAGATTTACCATATTTATGACCTTTCCCTCCTGAAACAGTTTAGGTTAATGGTGCAGCCTTTTTTCTAGTCAAATGTGCCAGGAAATCTAGGGCAAAGTTCAACTGCTCCCTCTCATCTTATGTGGCTGCTGCTTCTGAGAACATCCAGGAAGTTCTTTCTATACTTAATAATCCTCTCACTCCTTTGGGGCTTTACTGCCATGAATATGAACTTTTGTGACTATTCATTTCAGTCTTCACGATGGTGCTAGTCACATTCTACAGTTTATGTCTGTACCCACTAAGCTTTTTTGAGGGAAGGAATCTTCTCTTTTCCTATTCCCAGTCTTGCTCATGCATAACAGATACCCAGTCCTCCTAAATATGAATGCTGTATTGTAGGCATTAGTAATAATCCCTGTTATATTGCAGTCTGAAGTATGTTTTAAACATACTTATTTTTTAAAGTTAGAACTGACTTACAAGTGAATTTATTCACAAGAAGTGATTTGGTATTTTAGATACTTAAGACACTAACTACTCTAGATATTTAGTTATACTCGGTAACTAAATATCAATACTCAATATCTGTTTCTTCTACTGAATTTCAGAGTAGTTAGAATATTTTTATTAAGACTTTGCTAGAAAGGAACTGGTTTATAGTAATTCCACCATCAACTCATGGAGTTATAATTGCCAAACGAGTTAATTTTTATATACCTTAAGCTATCCTGCCTACAAGAAGAGTAAAATAAGGCAGGATCCATAAATATTATTTGTAAATTTAGTGTTTCACATGAGGCCAAATAGGATTTTAACATAATGAATATCGTTGCTCTTCATCTGTACATTTGCTGCTACTTTCATATGTGTATCTGTACATACACAGAGTTATGAATGAAATCTAGTAATGCCCTAATGTGACTTTTTCCCATAGGGAGTTCATGTAAAGTGAACATGTGAAAGAAGTGACTGCAGTGTGTTTGAAATCACAGGCTGTTTCTATGTCATAAATTAACATTGGCCTGCAAATAAAACTTTGAAAGAACCACTCATTTCTAATTGGCTTATGTCACAACCTCCCACATTCCTTTAGCCCATCTCAGGGAATTATTGAAGTGTTGGCAGGGCTAGTTTTATTTTGTTTTTTTGTTTTTTGGTGGTGGTGGTGGTTTTTTTGGTTTGAGGAATTTGTTTTTGTTATTTTTCTTTTGTCTTCTTGTTTGCTTCTGTGTAAGCTTAATACATAATGGCACTTTTGGCATCTGTTCTTCACACATACCTAACTCAGCAGCGTTATGATGCAAAAATGATAACTTCATTTTAGGTCAAATTGGCTTTGTTCCCAGTCCTCATTGTTGGTGACTTTTTAGAGTGACTTATTGGTGATGATGAAACTGTTCAGCCTGCCAGCTGGGATACTGATGGCAGGTCTAGGCTTCATTGCTAGGTAGAATATTGGATACTTCTCACTTTATAGAAATTTACATTGGCTACTGCTCCCAGTGTTAGCTAGTCTTAATGTGTTTGTTATTTCATTATCTTATTAGTTGACATATGGAGTGGTATTATTATTAGTATCATAGTCCATAGTAAGAGCATGACAGTTAAGTTACCTTACTGCTAGTGATGAGTAAACTGTATTCTCTGATCTAAACACATTATTACCAATGTGATTATGAAGTTAGCTGAATCTATCTCACTATGTGGTCTGCATTCGAAGAAATAATTTAGTATTCTCTATTACATGGTAAGGTACTTGCCAATAGAGATTGGGCATTATTATATACTCCTCCCTTTCTCATATCCTACCCAAAGTACACAAGGCCATAGTAAATTACTGTTGCTACTAAAAACTAAACATACTGTGGTTGCTAATGTCCTTTACATCTTCAGCCTATAGGGAATGGTACAGGCAGAAACAAACACCAGTAAGTATATTATCATCAGTAGTGAGATCTGTATGATTAGGATATCTTTGCTTAAGTCCCCAAAGGAAAAATTCTCTGGCATTAAAAACATGGCTGAACATAACAGTTAACCTGATTAGTAGACTTATTGTTAACTTTCAGTCCTAAAAATGAAAAGCTTTAGTTGGGAGTAGAAAATACACTCTGCTGGTATATACAGCAACAGAAATCCTGATGAGGTAAAATGAAGTCAAAACTTAACATGTGACATTATTTGACTTCCCTACATGCTACTGAAAAGTCTAGGTTTAGCTAAGAAGCATAAATAATGGCAAGACTTATAGAGAAAAGAACATACAAAACAAGAACTGGAATGAATATAATGGAAAGTGTTTGGAGCTTAAATGCTTGGCCTCAAAAATCTGGCTTTGCCGTTTACTATGATCTTAGTTAAAAAGAAATCTGAATTTATCTGGGGCTGTAAAATAGTGAAATAATACCAATTTCAAGAATAAAATATGATATAAAGAAGTGTTGAAACCAAAATATCAAGAAATAGAATGGAAGGTATCATTGCTATAACTATTTTTTCAGGTAGAAAATAGAGTATTCTTTATTCTTTCTGTTGTCCCACATGACAAGCACGGGATGGTGAGGAAATGGCACATTACTTATGTTCGCCCCACCTTAGCTCCACCACCCCTTCAGTTTACTGGCATATCAGAATGTATGTTCAGAATTACACACTGAAGATACAAAAGATAGAATTGGTAAGCTTATCAGTAAATAACAAGACTTTGAAATCTGATAAATTAGCTGTTTTTATGGGAAGATAATAGACCAGCAAGATGGAAAACAAATGAGGAGTATCATCTGTTTTGAGATTGATAGGGTGTGACATAACCCCATTAATAGACACAAGTAAAAGGAAGTCATACTAGGAATGGGTATCAGTGAGTGAGCACCAACCAGTAGAAACAAGAGCATAAATCTGTTATTTATAAAGTATCCCAATATTGAGGCAAAAAGAACAAAGCATGACAAGACCACAATTAGTGCTGTTATGATTAGAGAGGAGCAGTCTCTACGTAAACTCAGGCAGTGACGACTGATCCTGTAATAGGAGCATAGAACTAAGGACACTCTGTGAGCTGGCATAAATACAGCGGAGTCTTTAAGACTGAAAGAGGTTCATGGGTATGGCACTTAATATGACTCAACATCACTGCAGAATTTTCAAGCAAACATGAAAGCTTGAGAATAAACACTAGTCCCTGTACTTCAGGAAAAAGCAGAACCTGTACTAGAACATGAAGAACTTAAAGATCAAAAGACAGCCAGAACTGTGACTAAATATTATTTTGTTAGAGAACTTTATGAGGCTATATATGTAATTCCTATATGTAATTTTATAGGAATTCTTAACTGAAAATAGTTACCAACTGCCAGTTATCAGGAGCAATGGTATTAGGGATTTTAACTTAGGCATGTAGAAAACTCTGACAAAAGGGCTACTGAACTCAAGCCAGTTCCCAGTGAATCTCCAGGAGGCACCTTAGAAGTCTTTCCAAGCTGAATACCATGTCTTTAGGGTGTCCGAACGCGTCTGTCTTTGGGGAGAAATGAGAGATGATTGAATGCCTTTCCACTCAGAACACAGTGGCCCATGCACTGTGACCAAGCCTCAAATCTTTTCTATTACAGTTCCAGATTCTTTTTTAGTCTGGAAGTTAGGGTAAATAAAAAATCTATGTTTGATTTTTTTCTTTTAGGAATGTTTTCTCATCTTAACTCTATGTTATCTTTATGGCCAAAAATTTGCTCAGAGTATATCATCAAAATATATATACTATATTTGTAAAGGTGTGAGAGGATCAAAATATCACTTTGACAATTATAAACCAGAGTAGGTTTTGAGAACTGATTGCTCACATGACACTTAGGAATATTCTTTCAGAAGCCTTTAAGAGAAATTTATTTCTCAGTGGACACTTAGAAGAATTTGATGATCATACTGTCATAAGATCAATAATGAAATTCTCAGCAACATTATTTGGTAAACATTGCACCCTATATTTTTACCCAAAATTTTGCTAATGAAAATTTTCAAATATATAAAAAAGTTAAAATAATTTGATAGTGTATTCACTAGATGCTAATTAGCATTACCTGTACTTGCTCTGTCACATATTCATTCATCAGTTCATATTATTTTGGATGCATTTTAAATTGCGTATCATTAACTAGAGTTTATTGTTGGCTTAATTTTTTATTTGATATTAGCATACAATGAAGTGCATAGGACTTATGTGTTCACTGAGGCTTGGCAAACTCATTATATTGCTATGGAAATATGAAACATCACCATCCTAAAACTATATAAATAGATTCATACAACATGTATGTTTTTCTACAGGCTTCACTTCTTTTTTGTTTGTTTTTTATTGCTGAGTAGTATTCTACTGTATGACAATATTGTAGTTTGCTTATCTAATTTCCTATTGATAGATACTTGGGCTGTTTCCAGGATTGGCTATTATAAATAAAGCTGCTATGATCATTCTTATAAAAGCCTATGTGAACATAGGTTTTCATTTCTTTGTAGTAAATTCCTTGGATTACAATTGCTGGGTCACAGGGTAGTTTTAAAAGAAACTGCCATACCTTTTTCCAGTGCAGCTTTGTTATGCCCTCTATTTTATATTTTGATGTGCATAACGGTGTAAACTATTTTTATGATCCACACTGAAATATTAGAAGAAGCGAGTTTGGGATAACAATGGCATTGTTCATGGTGGAGAATGACAATATGGTGTTATTTGAGGAAAGCAAAGGCCTGTCTGCCCCAAACGACTCCTCAAGGGCTTCCTATGCCTGAAACTTTAGCAATATTTCACTCCTTGTGTTATGTTAACTAGAAGAAATAGCACTGGTTTGTTTATGTTACTAACTTTCGCCACCCGTTTTCAGTAGGTAAAGTAAGACTGATCATTGAACAGAAAGGGCTATTTTGTGATGTGGTTGAGGGGGTAGTGGAAAGCATGTGTTGCTAGTAAGTCCCAGGTACAGCAATGTGAAAGAGCCACCTGGGCAGGGAAGTCCCCCACATGGTGGTCAGAAAAGCAGAAAATGGGGTGGGAAGAATTCTACCTCACAGTTTTGCATAGGGGATAGGTATGCTTTTACAGGACATTTTAGCCTTTAAAAATAATATTTTCAATATTGTCTCTTTATTCAGTATCACCCAGCTGTAGTTCTTTCACACTCTGATGACTTTCTTATCACTCTGTTTTACCTCTCCCAGCTATTCTATTACATACAGCAGTCACCTGTATTAGTCTATAAAATTATAATCATATGTATGTTTCTAATGCTCATTTTCAAAAATATTTCTGTATGGTTTATTCAGTTTTTCCTATTAAAATTTTAAGGGCTGGGAAATTTGGCTTCTACTGTAAATCCGTATAATGTTCCACAGATTGTAAATATGCAATAAAAATGTTAAAAACTATAATGGCAGCAAGTTTGGATATGTATTTCTTTGACATTGTCACTTTGGACAATAAGTTTGATTTCTATTAATAAAAATTGTTCACAAAATCTAGGGAGAATTAAGTCACACTGGTATCTAAAAATAATCTGATGAATTCTGCATCTTTGAATCAATTTGAATTATTTTTTGCAAAGTTTACATTTCTTCTAACAATATTATGTAAAACCTTTGATTAAATAAAAAATGTAACTTTTGTATATTCTGAAATAACCTGGAGTCTTAGAAGACAGAGGCTTCTCCTTCCCTCTCCTGTGACCCCAACACCCCTTCCCATAGGCTTGGCACAGAAGTCCAGTGCTTCCTCTAGGTCTTGTGTTGTTGTCAGAAATAGGTTCTCACCATAATAGATAGTGGTTAAATTTCCTTTGTTCCTACCGAGAAGTCCATTTTTAAGGCATAAAAGATGGACGTATATTTGGGGATGGAGGAAGCCTCTTAGAACAGAGCTATGATTAAAATGACAAAATCATATTACCATATAAACAATCGCAGTTCCAGAATGGCTACCTGGGATTTTGGATTGCCAGAGTTTGGAAATTGGCAAGCCTTATACCTTGTCCAATGAAGTTAAGTACATTTGAGTGACAGTTAAACATACAAGCAAAATATATCTACAAAAGACAATGTACAATTGTTATTAATAGATATTTTCACTTTACAAGTTAGGGTATCCACCCCATCTCTAGATTTTCCATTAGATGCTTCATGTATCCACAAACCTGTTTCAAACCATTGAGGTAATCTTACCATTGGGCTTGGTCAAAATAAAACTGGGAGAAAATGTGAATGAGTCAATAGCAGCACTTGACATTCCTGTCTTTTTAATACGTTTTAGTCTTGTATTTAGAACATTTTCAGAATAGGAGTATCAGCTCTACTAATTGTCTACAAATACATCAATATTAATAGCTCCTTCCATGGGAGAGTCCTGTATTGATGGCAGTGTGAGGCTCTCCTAGAATCTTCTGTTAGAACTGGGAACATATTTTCCCATTAAAAAATGCTTAAAATGCCATTAGTCCTCTTCTTCAACTACGTTATGGATTAAGCAAGCTACTGTAAGATGACCTAGAAATCTAGATAGCATTAATAATATTACTATATAAGTTAACAACTGACCTACCAACATATTTTTAGAATGTATCCCATTCATTAGTTGGAAGCTGCTCTTGTTCTAAGAAAATGTTTAGAGCTCATAGACCATAAAGATTGTACTGTTACTTAGGACATGAACATAGATTAACTTTGAAAGTAGGACTATAGTTGTGTTGTAGACATATAGTTAGAACTAGAATGTGTGTTCTATACCAGTGGTTATCAAACATGAGGCACCTATGAATCAACTGAAGATGTCATTAAAATGCAGATTCTGATTCATTAAATCTGGAGTAGGACCTGAGATTTTGCATTTTCAGAAAGTTTCTAGTTTTCCGCTGATGCTGCCAGTCTGCAGACCACACTTCTGACTCCAAGGTTCAAGAAAACCTTTTGTAAAAACTTTAATATATAAACTTTTCAGAGACAATATCTGATCATCCTACAAATTACCTAATCTCTCTCATTTGAAGAGAAGAATACAGAGATGGCATTTTGGGAATTATATACTTATAGGGACTAGAAAAAACAAATATATTTATGAAATTAACAAATTCTGAAAGATGAGCATATCCAATCTATGGTAAATTTTAGTCAATTCAAAACAGTGAAGACTGAATTGTCATTTTTCAGTATCTCATGACTGAGGGAAGGTTGTCAACTGGAAATAACTAATTCCTTTATGCTTTATTCTTTGGAATTCTGTTTAAGAGCAATGTGTAGTTATTACTTTTTAAAGTATTCTGGTAAATAGAGAAAAATACAAAAAGTAAAAACTGCCCATAATTTATCAATGCTGAGAACATAGTTAATATTTGATGCATTCCCTTGTATTTTACATAACAATAGTATGCTAGCATTTAACTTTATTTCCTGCTTTTTATAGCTATTATAAAAAATTATTAAATATTTTAAAGCTATCATAAAAAATTAACTTTTTTTCCAGTTCAACTCAATAGCTGTGTAATATTCAATAATATGTAAATACTGTGATTAGGTGAAACATTTTGTTTCTTTTTCTTTCTTAATAGTACTATAAGCAATGCTGTAATGAATATCTTTGCTCTTAACTTTCTGACAGCATCTCTTCTTTGGATTGATTCCTGAAAGTGGAAATATTGGATTGGAATATACACATATTTTGAGGCTTTTAATAGATATGGCCAAATTGCTTTCTAAAAGGTTAGGTAGATTTATGTGTCTGTTAACAGTTAGGGTGCCTGTCTCATGGCACTATTTCCAGCATGAAGTGTTATTCTTTTTAAAGTACTTTACAAATCTTTGAGAAAACCAGTTCATCGTACATTTCTTTAACGACCAATGAGGCTGAAACAAATTTAGTGATTTATTATTATCCATTGCATTTCCCTTCTGGTGGCTTGTCTGTTACTATTTTTGCATACTTTTCCTTTGGAGTTAGCATTTTTTCTTATTTGTTTGAAGAGGGTTTTTTTTTTTTTCCTAAGGCTAATAATCCATCATACTTGAGCAACTATTTTTCCTAGTTATTCTGTCTTTATGAATTTTGGTGATGATAGCATGCTCATATTTATAGTGAAATTTATTAACAGATGTTCTTCTTGACTTTTTTTTAATATCTCCTTAATGACTAGAAAATCTTTCCTCAGCTTAAATTTTTTCCTCCTGTGCAGTTTGTTTGTTTGTTTACTATAAACGTCTACATTCAGAAAACATTTTGGTGCCTTTTGTGAGGCAGTGATATGATAGATTTTTCCACATATCAAATGTTCTCAACGTAACTTACTGGATAATGTATCCCTGCCATTGATTTCTGATACTCATTTGAAAACATATTGAGTTCTTAAGTCTTCTAGGCCTACTTCTGGGCTAGCTATTCTGTTCTGTTGATCAGTGAGTTTATAATTTTGCCTATACCACACTGCTTTTAGTATCACTTTAAAAAAAATAAAAATAAAAAAAGTTCTTTTTTGTAGCATTGCAGAGAAACAGCTTTTCCTACTGAAAGAATTTCTTTGGTGGCATAAGTAAGCAAAGAAAAACTCCATGGGTGAATATAGATACCAGTGATTTTATATGAGTAAAGAAAAAAAAAAAGGTTATATGCTTAGAGGTATTTTATTCAAAATAAGAAGGGAAGTGAAGAAGTAATAGCTGTAGAGCAGAGAGAGAACAAGCTTGTGCAGAATGCAGAGGAAGGAGTACAACAGCAAAGGGCAAGCAGCAAGACAATAGCACCAAAAGGAAGGGAAGGAAAAAATAGAGAAACAACTGAAGACTTGTGAAAAGAATGGAATAGTAATGATTACAGTATTACATTTACTGAGTATATTTACAAACATAAAGCATATTTACAGTAGTATATTTGAATATAATATGCAAAACACACATTGAATAAAGCCTGACCCATAGATCAGCAAAGACATATAAAACTAGAATGATGTATCAACATTAATAACAGAAGAAATAGACCTAGACAGAAACCCAGGTTCTCACACTAACAAAGCACAACAGATTCCGTTGTAGTTGGATTGATGGTCGAAAAGATTCACAAGTACAAGGATTACCTGACCTATCCTGAAATCAAGTAATACATGTTTACATTTTTAGCTTGGTAAATTGTTTACCACTGTTCCGGTAGTTATTCAAAATCAGATTTACTTTAGACAGCATGACACAGAAAACAGAACACAGGCTTTGGGGTTTCATGATTTACAGCCAGTGGTTGAGAATTCTGTTTTTGGTGTTAGGTTGGCATGGGTTAAACCATATTAACCTTGTGATTTTGCATAAGTTATTTAACATTTGTAGGTCAATGTCCTCAGTAAAATGACATTAATATAGAAAATATTTCAGTGTTTCTCTAGTAATTAAATGACATTATGTAAAATAAATCTTCAGCAGGGTAGCTGGTACGTGATCAGTGCCGTACATTGATATTTTTTACAGTTTACTAGACAGCAAGCTCCTGAGGACAGGGACCCCATTTGTCTTCTTCCCTGCTGTTTTCCTGGTGTTTAAGTCAATGTCTGCCATCAAAAGTGCTCAGTACATTTTTGTTGAAAAAGAAAACGATCATTTGCTTGGCATTTAAAATCTGAGGCAGGTGGAGTGGGTTCAGCAGGATGGTGAAATAGAAGGCTTCACCAATTGTTCCCCCTCAAGCCCCCTGCAAGGACATCAATTTAACAACTATCTACACACACACAAACACCTTCATAAGAACCAAAAATCAGGTGAGCACTCATAGTAAGTACCTGGTTTTACCTTCATATTGCTAAAAGAGGCAATGAAGAGGTAGAATAAACAGTCTTGAATTACTGATGTCACCTCCTCCCCCATCCCCTAGAAGTGGCAGCAAGGTGTAGAGAGCCTATGCCTTCTGTGCCCTGGGGAGAGGGAAAGCACAGCCATTGTGAGGTATTGAACTCAATGCTCCTATGTTATAGCAGCAAGCAAAACCAGACCCAACTCAGCTGATGCCCACCCATGGAGGGTGCATTTAAACCAGTCCTAGCCAGAGGGGAATCACAGATCCCAGTGGAACTTGAGTGTCTGCAAACCTCATCACTGTAGGCTAAAGGGCTTTGGGGTCCCAAATACACTTAAAAGGTAGTCTAGGCCACAAGGACTGCAACACATATATGAGCCCTAGGTCTGAACTGGGCCCGGAGCCAATGGACTTGGGGGAGGAGACATGCGACATATTGAGACATCAATCAGGGTGACTAAGGGAGTGCTAGCATCGCCCCTCCCCTAACCCCAGGCAACTCCAAAAAAGACCCCTTTCTTGCACTTGAAGAGAGAAGATGGAAGAGTTGGGAGGGCTTTGTATTGCATCTTAGATACCAGCTCAGCCACAGCAGAATAGAGCACCAGTCGAAGTT